AAAGCTTACTCTCTTCTAGTGCATATCAAACTCCTGACTAGAGAAGTACAAACAGAAAAGAGACCAAGCCTAGGGAAAAGTATGGAATTTGTGGTCAGAGGACTCTGAACCAGAGGACTAGACACTGGCTGGCATCACATACTTCAATCCCAACATTTTAGCCTGAAGACATTGGCAGCACTTAAGCTACTACTCTATTACAGGACTAGCACTCCAACTATTGTGAAGCTGGCTTTAGATTTAGCCCAAGATAAGCCTATAGAGGCTATTTCTCAAGTGAATGACTAAACCAAGTACAATGAAGAATCAGCCCAGTTCTCCAGAGACCTAAATTCAAATGATTTCAGTATCTGTTAAGTCTCTCTGAGGATCTCTTGCATCACTCCTATGTCAAAAGACCTTTTTTTGAAAGAAATGAGGCTTAGATTCACTGATAATAATGTTTCCAACATGAAATCCTTGGTTTAAGGGAAGAAACACAAAGAATTTTCTGATGGAGGGTAACTAAAACTGACCCTAGGAGCTGGCTGGTTACCTCTTCAAAGAGGCAGGAAACACTGGGAAGAAAACCAATTCTAAGGACTGAAAAGAAGGAAGACAGTTCATCTGCCTGGGAAGCAAGGAGTCACCCAGCGAGGCCTAGTCTCAGTTGCTTCATAATCCCTTCAGCTATCAGAGGTCTGGTGTCAAAGGCAACACAGACCTGATATACACACGGGTTCCTTCATGTTACATTTTCTGCATATGATATCTTGCCAGGGATTTCCAATTCTATAAATGCCGTAGTTTTTTCTAACGGTAAGTGAAGCACCTCAGAGTGTCAAAGCTAGGCTGAAGAAGCAGCTGTATGAACATTTTGCAGACATCCTCTTACAGGAAAGGTGAACAGATGCAGGAATTAGATACCTTGTTTTAGTAGCAAAATTCTTCTGGGAATATTCCTAAATGGTATCAAACACTTAAATGACCTAACTTCTGGCTTTCACAGATGACTTTGTCTTGGACAAACATTGGATGAGAACAAGCTGGGGCCCTAGAGCAAACGTTTTGTATCCTAAGACTATTCCTGCCCAGCTTCTTTCTGTTTGGATCCTAGTATGTTCCAGCCTAACACTGCCTGCTCAAACAGCACAGCTGGCCAACTAGCTCTGATATTTGGTGAGAAGGGAATGGGGAAGTATACTGCATGATGTTAGGGCACAGTGACACTGATTACAACCACGTATATAGCCCTGAGAATCTAGCCATGGCTGTTTTGACACAGCTGGATGATAAGAACTGTTAAGCTGTCTGGTAATACACTCCTATTTCTAACCTGGCAAGGTCCAAGCAGCAGCCACGGAGGAGCTGGGACACAAACTGTCTGTGAAAATAAACAAGTTATGGGACAGAGAAGATTATTTAGATGACATTTCCAATGCCAAGACACTAGAGATGGCCAGGGAATCTTCTTCTCAAAATAGCACTCTGGCAGCTTTAGCTGAGGCAGAAGCACATGTGGTTTGTTAGAAAGTTCCCTTCATTGCTGTTTCCAGAGTTTTGCATATGACTACCCTAATTTAGCCTGTTCCTTTGTCTATGAGTTTTTTTGAGGGGAGGAGGATGGAAGAGAAAGGTAGTTCACAACTAAGCAGATCACTGTATTCTATTTTTAAAGCTTTTCTTATAGCATCCAACCTATTAGAGTCCCGAGTGGAGTTTTCAGACACTTAAAAATATGTGTGTGCATGTAAGTATGTATATGAGTGCATGTATATACAGATAGATAGATAAGTGTGCGTGTATAATGACATTAATTAGCTCTAGTCAAGAGAGTGAGAAAAGACGACAAGAACCTGGAAGTATTTAATTTTGATTGCAGTAAAACAGATTTTGTTTGGATTTAAACAGTTCCTTTATTCAAGAATGTAATAGTTCCATTGTTTTTTATTTTCCTGTTTTCTCAAGATTCCTTCTCTACGCTCCCTCTAGTGTTCTTAAATTCGCTTGCATTACTCACCCCTGCTGTATTCACTTAGTATTTCACACAACATTAAGTTGTTAACTTTCTTTAGCCTTTCCATAACCTACAGGAGAATCACTGAAAGTTAGACTAACTTTTCTGAGTATTTTTCTCCCTGCAATGATCAAAAAAATACAGATTAACAGATGAAAAAGAGAAAAGTGTAAAATTAATTCTGAAACAGCATTTTGTACTTTATTGGTAGGTAAAGGGGAGGACTTGGTCTTGAGAAAGGAGGAAGATTTTGTTTGCAACACTTTTAATGCAAGATTTATAGGCAAAGGACAAGGAGGAGAGTTGCACTAAAACACCAGTTACTTCCTGCTACACTCTCTAGCAAATCCCTTCAACATATACACACACTGATTGCTTCACGCAAATAAAACCAAGAGGAGAATAAGAACTAAGTTTTCCTAGGCATCTCCCCATTTCATGGAATGCCCTGAAGGGACAGCAATAACAGGTAGTTTCTGTTAGTCTCATCCTTATGTTTCAATAAAAGAAAGAGAACAAAGGGGAGACTGGATTAGTATGTTGTTTTAAAAAAGGAAATAGAGATAAGCAAATTCCCTCCAAAGCAGTATTTCCAGGCAACTTTTTGTTTCTCCTTCATAACTGCAGTTTTAGTATTTATTTTACATTACCCATGGTCACAACTTAAGAATAGAAAAACATAAGCAAATGTGAAAATGAATCAAAGCTCTATTCCCAGGGTGTTTTTTTTTTCCCTAGAATATTTTTGTATTGATTTAAAACTAAAACTTCTAGAATCATTACAGACTCAAAACAAAACAAACAAAAAAACTCCACAAATATCAAAGTGAAGCTGATGAGATTCTCCCACCTTGCTCCACCTTCATGAAAGTAAAAACTTAAAACAAAAAGAAAGAAACAGCTTTGCCACTAGTCATCTGTGATCTTCTGTTCATTGTATTGAGTACTTGGCATCACTTGTACTAAATGGCAGATATTTGCTACAAACTCTTGTTCTATAGTTTATATACAAACCAAAATATTTTAATTGGCTCAAAAGAAACATAGTAAGAAAAGCCATTTCAGACCAACCCATGAAAATGAGCAACCTGTATCTGCAAATCTGATGATTTACCACAAATGATACAGAAGTATCATGAGTGCTCAGTCACTGCATAACAAAGTTCTGCTTCAACTCTAACATTTCAAATTAAATTTGGATATTTATGACAACTTTTTTAGCATATCACCCATTCAACCCACTTTAAAAGGCAGAATCTTCTTATTATTCTTCCCCAAGACATCACAGTTGTCCCCTAAATGTTGACCCACCTTTATATACTAAAAATATTGATTCTTGTCAGTCTATGCTTTTATACTGACATATTAATTGACATGTTTTAAAACATACAGGAAAAAAATGGTTACTCAATCTAATCATTTTCTGTTCAATGCCCATTTTTGATTAACAAAAGATATGTACATTTCGAGGTAATAAATTTTAAAATTATGCTGTTACTCATGTCTGTTTCATTATTTTCTATGTAATTTAAAATGTAGAAATGTGAATAAAGTTCAGTAAGTCTTTTTCAGCTAAAGTTCAGTAATCTTGAGTTATTTACTTTTAACATAACAATATCAAGTACTGATTCTTACACTGAATTGGCACATTCTAGAAACAGAAATCAGATGCACAACTACTGTTTCTACCACAACAGTTTTGCTCCCAATTCCTCATTATATACAGTAAGCCTATATTAAATGCTTTACCATGCAGACTTACAGTGCTGTCAATATATGCTTCAGTCCATACTACGTCATGCTCTTGATCAATAACCTTTGGTCGGCTAAGAACATGGAGATATTCCATGACATTCTCTTGAACATCAGCTAAGGTAGAGATCTGAGTAAAAAACCCTGTGAAAACACACAATTCCAAGTTATAAACCAGACAGAACAGATGAAGGAAGATTGCAACAAGGAATATGATGTGGTTTATATCTGTCATGTTTTCTGCTTGTTTATTCCCAAAGGAGAAATGCAAAAAGGAATGTTTCATAAGAAGCAGCCTCAAACAGTAATAATTGGTGAAAGCAGGAGTCTGTGAAACCTGCGTCTAATCTTGAAGGACTGGGTTCTGAATATTGCTATGAGCCACTGCACTGCCTGTCCTAAACTCTCTATTTCCAGAAAACATTTGTTGTTTGATGGTAAAGTAGTTTGGGTTTTTTTAAAAAATGCTACATACTTTAAAAGTTATAACTGGTATTAACTTTGTCCAACATCATCTCATCCAGTTTGTCCAATTTCAAGAAACATTACACATTAGAACTACAGTCACAAAACTGTAGTTGCATATGTTGTAAAATGCTCATCCTTATATAATATTACTATTATCTGATGTTTAGTCACATGTTATTTACAAATGGCAGGTCACAGAAAATGTAGACTACAACTACAATTGCTTGGCTTAGTTATCACAGCTTTGTTAATCCTTTAAAACATCTCCTACAACCTGACAGCACTGAGAACGGCAGAGGCCACCGCTGTTTGAACTGTCACCACTTCCTTTTCAGTGCCTAGATGTCAAGCATCTTTGTACATCACAAACTTGGCATATGGAGCCCACATCATGCAAGGGTGACAAAGGACTAACAAACTTCAAGGCCTTATTTAAATGCATCACTGCCCCTCTATACACTTTCCTTTTCTTTAAGGAGAAAAAAACAATACGGAATTTTCATGAAAGAGGCCTTGCTACAATTTTAGTCTTTTGACAAGATCACATCTTCTGAAGAGCTGGAATACTAAACTTCAGGAGAAAACATGGGAGCTGTGAAGAACATTTGAGCTGTGTTCATTGCAGACAGGGCCAATTTTGGCAAGATTGCAAGGGTGCTCTATGGTCTGAACGTTAGAATGTTCTGATTCAATACACCTGCCAATGATTCATGCAGTACATAATTGATGTTTCTACATACCTTTCATCTATGTATGAATTAAAACACGGTGTAAGAACAGACTTTATAGCAGAAATCTATAAAATGAAACGAGTCGTAGCAGCTTAATGCGTGTTTTCAACTTAATATGAAAAAGCAGAGGTGGTGGGGTAGTTTTTTGCAAAAATTAATTTCATTATACTATGATCTCAAATATCCCTAGTATAGTATTCATACTGTTCAAATATTCAATAATCTGCTTAAGGAATTTGATTTATTTGATATTTTATTTTTTTCTATGAAGTCCAGTATTGTGTAAGGACGTTAACTGACTACGTCATATACTATCAAGGTTTAACTGTTGTTTCAAAACAGGGCTATTTTTTCATCTAAAGTTCTGAAAGCTTTTTCAGCCATAGAATAAAATGATTGACACAAATTTGATTAGGAAACATGTACTTGAGAAAGCAGAATTCTATGTATATGGTGGAAAAAAAAAGAAAATTATAGTGTACTTTAATGAATTATTGGCTTTGAACACTTACTGGAGAAAACAACGTGTACATTACTCTTTCTGAAATGCTGCCTGCTCCAATTTTGGGACTGCTGAGTCTCCAAAGTCAAAGTACGGGTTTCTCCCTCGTGCATAATGAGGGAGATTTCACTATCTGGTCCTTTTAATTTGTTGTAAATGTGAATACATAGTCAAAATATGATTATTTGCCAATATGAGCTATTCACATAAATTATATATATGCATGCATCATGTAAGTATACACAATGTGGTTTATAATGCTTTTAATCAAGGATTGAAAATACTTCAGAACTGTGTGGATCACTCATTTTGCAGGTAATGACCTACATTTTCCTAAAGCAGTTCAGAGTGCCTGAATATTGATATGTCTTATTTCAGAAAGCTTAAAAGAGAACCATAATTTAGAGGCCATATTCAGCACTGTTCACACGTTTCAAGTTACATACTCAAAAGCACAGGCCGCTCAGAAATTCAGAAAAATTAAACAGAAGCACAAATAGACTAATCAGCCTTTTGCCTTTCTTCCTCCATCTTAGACTAGTGTACAATGGCTATAAGTAAGGACTAAGACACTAAAAGGAAAGAACACACAAACTCTGCACGTTTTTCTGTAGGAGTTTTAAAGCAGGGGACCTCCATGGACGTTCATCTCTCCTTTTGTGCTTTTACCGAACAGATACTTCCAGTTGTCCCCATGAACAAGTTTTCACAGTTGTCCTTAAAAAGCAGACTTTGTCACTGTTTTGGTTCAGTGTTTTCTGTGGAACCTTACATCACTACTCCAATACTATCTGTTGTGTTGAGCTCATGTACTTTTCAGTGGATGTTATGCCAGTATTTGCACTTCTTTTACAACAGTGTGCAAAATTACAATTAAGAGCAGAGATATGCTTGCACTGAGAATTGTACAGTGAACAACAGGAAAACACCTGCACTTCAACAATATATGTGTATGAGCATATTAAATAATGCCTGAAAAGTCAGACTAGATTAACTACTTGAAAAAAATTTTGTATTGTATCTAAGGTGATGGAGAGGTCTTTTTTAATCAAGCAGTATCTTACTACCCATACAAAGGTTGACATCACAACATTAACACTTTTTAATGTCATACTTCATTAAAATCAAAACCTTAAAGACTTATTTAAGAAGCTCCTGGATGTCGACGCCTGGAAAATTCTTTAATCACAGCCTACAAAATACCTTTGAGATAAAGGTGCAAAATGAACATGCATTCTGATTGCCTCCTGAAATGTTTTTATGTCAGTTTTTCAAGTTACTCAAACAAAAAGGAAAAACAAACAAACAAAAAAAGAAACAGAAAACAGAACCCAATCTGAAACACTTCCATGTTGTGCCATACAGGTTTATACATGTTACAAGACATGCTAATGCCGGGGTGTTTGGGTGTGGTTTTTTGATTTTTTTTTTCTCTCTTTTCTTTTCTTCTTTTCCTTCATTTAGAAAAGATCCATCTGGACCAGGTACAGCCGACATGAGCAGAGGCACCTACCTGAGCATTTATTTGTAACTGTTCTTCATACGGATGTGTATTACATTAGGTATTTCTCTTTGTAGTATTTCTGAAAATGCATGCTGTCATTTCGCAACTTACACAGAACTCTCCAGGCAGCGTGCTACAAAATATTTATTTCTTGTTGTAGTATTTGCAAACCATATCTCTAAACTGCACAATATAGAAAACAGTTTTTAGCCTAATTTCCTAAAACTAAAAGAGATAGTGAGCAAGTCTGAATCAATTTCATGTAAACTTAGCAGAGAAATAAAGGTCTCAAAGACAACTGAAAATTTGTGACTACCCCAAGATTAAAAGAAGTGACATTGAGCATCCGATCTGGAAGCAGCCAGATGGTAAATCAGCGCATGTACACTGGCATGCACATAGGTGCAGGCTGGCTACGGAGTGTTCCTGGCCCAATGAGTATGACAGCTAAACAAATCAAGGTTAACAAGTGGGTGAAAAAGGGATTAGTGTGAAAAAAATCCTATTTTTTTCATGATATCTGTGTTGCACAGATTTATTCATATATCAGGCTGCAACAGATGAAAAGTTGAAAGGAAGAGTGTGTTAGGGAATTCATTCCTTTTCATCAGGTTGCTTCAAATAACTGAGTTTAGTGAAATGTAAAAACTGCTGCTAAAGATATGTAAACAACAAGACTTAGATGCAGATGGTGTCATAAGACACAACCATATGGATTCTCTCCAGGTTTTTTTATAATGTGATCTCAAGGGTGAGTTTCATTTGTAATTTCTGGGAAGAGCTCCTTTCCTGCATTGAAGATTTTGTCTGTTTTTATATAAATATGGTTTGTGCTTTTGTAGCTCACATTAGAAAAATCTACAATGATTTTACAGTTTCCATAACTCATGTAATATGAACAATTACCTATCGTCTGTGAATTTATGGTTCATCTATTTACTTTGTTTCTACAATTTCCTTAAGTTTTAGCTGCCTTTACAACAAAGTGAAAGTAATTGCAAAAGCTACATGAATTATGTTTCCCATATTTTTGATGCTGTTAGATAAATGTTCTAACATTTATTTTTAGATCTTCTTCTAAGGGGAAAACTGTACCAAAAGTTCCTACGTTACAGCTAGGGACAGCATCATCTAACATTCTCTTAGTTCATTTGCACTGTACATCTAGACTTTTTGATGATTCGTGTGTTTGTAGCTACATATAACAAATGTGAAACCCCACAAGAATTAGCTTCCTGCACTGCTAAATTTATCTCCCTTATCGAGAGATTACAGGTGCCCCGTGGATTCAAAAACCTTACTCTTTCTATACCAAGGATTACTCATCAGATAAAGACATGCTCTGAAGTTCTGGAGTACAGCTGCTGAGGCCATGTAAGCACTAGCAGCAAACTCACGCTTAAATTTTTGCATTCTAGCACCTGCTTCTCAGCTCCCTGGTGTGTGAATTATGCCACCTGAGAGGGCCTGGGTTTTTTTCCCCTCCCCAGCAGGACAAAAGTCATGAAGGAAATGGGTAAGATTTGGTAATGACAAGCATGAGATATGTATAATAATGTGGTTAAAGACAGATCTGCAAGTGGGCTGTCTTGCCCTATTACGCCGCCCTTGCAATGTTTTTGGACGGCTTGTTTTTGTCTAAAACATGCAGCATTAGCCAGATAACTTTTCAAAACCCCTCCAATGGATTTTTACACAGAATGCAGTACTTCTTGTTTTCTGGACACTGTGCAAAATACATGCAATATTCTTGCAACTAATAAAGCATCAGAATTTAAAAATCCTCTTTGGGTAGGGACTAAGGAGGGAATTCATTGTTCCACTGCAGCTGTAAGACTCCCATGGAGAATACCCCCCTGCTCCCCTACCTAAGAGGCCTCTCAAGCAGGTGAACAGTGTCTGTAACTGGCTGCCTGCCACCGCCCCAAGGAGCCCACAGTGCACGAGCTGCCGGGGTCATGCTAATAACGGGAATGGATGTGACTGGGGCTTCCTGTACGCAGCTCTCCCCTGCTAACACAATAGTCTCTGAACTGCTGCAGCTGGGGCACAAGTTGCCTCTGGGCTGATCCGTCCTCTGCTGGCAGTTAGAGAGCCGCTATCAGACCTCCAATATGCAAAGCTGCTTTCTCTACGTTGCTTTCTCAGCCTCTGCTCCTTTGTACTGATGACTCCTCTCCTTTGTCCACCTTACAATATGCTAACCACAGTGATGATCCGTAATAAAACGTTAAAAAAAAAAAAAAGTAATTAAAACAGAGGTTGTCAAATTACTAATGCAATAGAGAATTTTGCTGGGAAAAAAATGCATAATCGTGTCTGGTTTTTAAGTAATGCATTAACTCCCATCTGTATTTTTACATCGTTCTGCCGGAAGTGACTGCTGAGGGAAAGCTACTGCATTCTTACTTTAAAATCTGGCACATGCACACTAAGCACGAGGAAACTTTTACCTTTGTTCACTTGAGGATCTTAGTAGACCTTGATTCTTTTTCTTTATGTGCACTCGCTTATGATACAGAAGAGTAAATCACTGCAAATTTCACAAACCACTCTAGAGGGACTTTGCGGTTCTTGAATGTTTTAATGTATTTAAAATGGTTTGGTGTTTTGCTTCATTAAGCAAACTCCCTCTAGATATGCCCTACTTATACATAAAAATGTATCACAAAAACATCTTTGGGGTTTTTCAAGGTTTCACCATCAGAATCCAGAAGCTAAAGAAGTTTTGCAAGGTGGTATGAATTTCCCCTGTGATCCATTTTGAAGGAAAGGACTGCTGCCCACAGTCCGGTCAGCTGGAAACCCTGCAAAAAGCCTTCATCTATGTTGTGCTTCCAAGGGGAAAATCACTTCAAGGAAAATTGATTTTAGGGTCATTGACCCTCAGTGACAACAACGTACTTTGGCCCACCCATGCAAGTAGTAAACTGCAGTCCAGCCATTCAGACCAGCTTTACTATACTCCTCAACTGTGCTGTAATCCTTCATTTCACTAAAAGAAAATAGATGAGCTGTAGCTGAAAACTGTAAGAGAGATCTAAATTCCATACTGACATAATGAGTTATGCTGTTTCCAATTGTGATTTTCAAACCTATTAAAAAAGTATTTAATTACTGATTAGAGGTAGAAGATTTTTCCATTGTAAGCTATCAGAGAGCAGGTATTGTAACCACTAAACTTAGAGAAAAAAAAAATTCTAGAAGAAACAGTCATTAAACTGTTTAGTTGATTTATACGAGGAAGATTCTGACTCAAAGCAACATGGCTCTGAAAAGAACAAAGTAGTCCTGAAGAATGACAAAGGTGACCAGTTTTCCCCCTCTGGGAATAAAGGAGACATGGACCAGATGATCTGCTAAGGCAGCCTCTATTGCCTGGTCCTAATTTCTGAGTTGCTGTACTTAGATCTTTATGAATCTGTAGGGCTGGGCTAAAAAGCTAAAAGATTTTGATTAAATTGTCTTCAAAAAGATGCTTCAAAGGATTCTTATACTATTATTTGAACTAAATTATGGTGTAATATTAGCTGATTAAGACAAGACTTCAAACTGAGTAATTTCCATCAGCTGGACATAACAGTAGTTAAAGAAATAATGACTAAATGGATAGCACCTGATGCAATTCATCATAATGTAATGTGGCACAAAGGAAAAAAAGAATTTTTTTTTTTTCTAAGAGGAAAGGAAAACCTGAAGATTAATTAGGGGTTTTGGCTTTTTTCTGAATCATTCTTACTTATATTAGTCAATCCTTTTACTGTAGCATCTCAGCATCTTACATGTTTTAATGTTCCTTCCTTAAAGGATATAAAACTGTTTTTTCAATTACACCATCAGTTCCTCAAGGGACAGGATGTCTGGTGTTTTACATACCATGCCTAACTCAACAGGACTTGTACCCTATGTTCTTAGGAACCAAACAAACTCTGACTGAGTAATAACAGCTATAATACAACAAATGCTTCAAAATTAAATTTTGTTCTCTGAATTTTGTTTTAAATTTTATTCTCTGAACAAAAAATTTAAGATCACATAGTTTAAAAGCTTCATACATATTTTAAGGAAAAAATAAATTTCAAATTGGTTTTTTGCTTTCTAAATTGTATGCTACAAGATAAACAAGCCTTTTCCTTTCCTGGAAGAAGGCAACACATCCTCTCTGATTAGCTGTCAGTGACACCATATCTGTAGAAGGGTCAGGTATGCAGGAAGGCTCAAGTAATAGGGTTTTGAAAACAATACTTTCACAGTTAAAGGTTAACTAACCTTTGTTAGCGCAGGCCATCCACTTCAGGTTATCAGCAAAAGCAGCTTCTCTTCCAATCAGATAGGTAAAAATACGAACCTGAAAGTACAATGCAAAGAATCAAGTCAATTAATACTGCATGTAAAACTTACACAGTGGAACTTCAGATACACATAAGTAATTCATATGGATAGACCCTTTTAAAGGAAGTATTACTGGTTAAACAGCACAGTAGGTTAAAAGAAAAAACATCTGTCCCAGTAATGTCTTCATGACAAAATGTGGCTTTTGTTCTGTGTAACAAAATGGCTGATCTCTTTGGATGTTTCCAATATCTGACATTTAACTAAAGTTGGGGTTAAATGATTAAAGTGTGAAAATAAACTAAACCCATGGGGCTACAAGGCAAAACTGCATGTTTCAGACAAATCTGTTCTGCACTTACGAATTCAGAAAATTACTATGGTGTGGAGGAAGAGGCACTTAATTAGCAAATATTTCTGTAGCTAAAGGATCTGAAACACCAGGCAAGCAAATTTTCCTCCTTCTTCAAGGGTTGTATGACACAGTAAGTTTGTCAACTTAGAGACAGGTACCCACAGGTGGCACTTGTGCTATCAAGTGATAAACAGCAGAATCATGTGCAGGGTTGCCACATTTCCCAGACATAAATATCTGTGCAAAAAGCTGTGCAGCTGGTCTATGCATGTGCACACAGACATACGCACAGAGACCTTCATCCAGAAATCCTAGAAAATTGCCGCTTTCCTTAAAATTCTGCCCAGAAAAAAATTCTTGGCAAAAAATGCATATTTGGGAAATGTTGAATGCAGGGCAGGCCTTGATAGACGCTAGGTGATAACACTTGTTTTTCTGGACTCCACAGTTAAATGTTGTAACACTTACATCCAAAACTGCAGTTTTGAGCAGCTTCAGACACCTGCCATTTAGAAAGTGAACAAAAGTTCCCAGTGAAATATTTCTCTTTATTATACCATTTTCTCAGTTCTTTCTCATCAAATAGTTCAGGGTTGCATTATTTTACAAGCCTTGAAAAACAGCTGCAAATTTGTCCTCACAGTAGACTGATGACAGCATTTTTTACCTCACACCTCCTGCACTCAACCTTACTTCATACATAGGAAATTACAGCAAAGACAAATGAGCGGGTCTGAGCTAGATAAATAGGGAATGGGAGAGGAACATGTTGTCCAGAGCTTCCCTCTACCTCACTAATACAAGTTTGCGTGGCACTCGCAGCCCCTCTGTTCAGGTTGGGTCTGTAACCACCCGTGTGTGCACGGAGCAAAGAAATCATCGTCCTGGGTCCCAGCGTATTCCATCTATAAATCCCACACAGTTCCATACCTTCTTCATCTACCATCTGATACAGCTGGGTAAGATGGAGCATAGTGAGCCTCACTTGTTCCAACTAAGCTTCCAGCAAGAGAACTGGGAATAGCACCTGACAGCTACAGCTAAAGCTCATATTCTACAGCCCCTGCCATGCTATGGCTTATACCTCTCATTCCATGTGCCTAAACTTCCATGACCATTTTCGCATTCCCTAATGATTTGTCCAGGCAAGAGAGGCCAAGTGCATACTGGGGCATATTAGCAAGACAAATAAAAGGCAATCATTTCCCTCTATTCCATTGTAAGACCCTATCTGCAGTACTGAGCTCAGTTTTGGATTCCCCCATACAAGAATGGGGGAATATACTGGAAAATACTGGAAAAGACAGACTCCTCTTGAAGGTGTGACTAAGAGGACAACACAGCAAGAGACGAAAGTCAGAAGAAGGTCCAAAACAATTCTGATTTGATATAAGGGGAAAAACATTTTTATCATGAGGGTAATAAAATATGAGAAAACATTGCCCAGAGATGCTGCAGAACCTGCATCCTGGGAGATAATTCAAAATCTGACCAGACAAGTTCCTGAGCAGCCTGGTCTAACTTCACCTGCTCTGAGCAGGGGGTTGGACAAGATGATCTTCAGAGGTCCCTTGCAATCTAAATGATTCCGTGAAATTAGCAATATTTTTACACAAGAGAGTAGAAATATGACTGATTTTCTAATTAAATAACTTGTTCTACATTTTGTGAGTTTTGAAGATAAATAGACTAGGTTAGGACTGGAAATTGGCAATTTGTAGCAGCAAACATGGTGCTATCATTATGTATGAGAAGAAAGAAAACTATGAACTGCATATTGTAACACTAAAAATTGCAACTAAACCCACATCAGATCCTTTTATCTTTTTATCAGTATATTAAATAGAATCATTGTTATCCAAACTTTTTTACAGAAACTCTGTTATCATCACTAAAAATCTGTACACAACAAAATATGCTCCAGAACATTTTATTCATTAGCTAATTAGGTCTCACATTCACAAAATAGACATGCTTAAATTATACAGAAAGCTAATTACACAGTAAGAAATGTCATGATGTGAGAAATCTATGCAGACCTCTAATTTAATTAATTTGCAATTAAAAAAATAACCAAGAATTAAATTTCTTATAGTTTTTTCAATTAGGACTTTAAAAGTTATTTGTAGGCTATATCAACCTTATATTAAGTTCCCATAGTTTGTTTTGTTTTCCCAGAAGAAGTTTTAAAACGTCTTTGAAAGTTTCCCTTTTTACTATTAGTTATGATACTATATTCCCTCACTGCCCTTTTGTCCATTTTCTTAATGGCCAGATCCTGTTTCTAGGCATATATGGTGTTTTGCATTGTTATCATGCCTAGAGACCAGATTTCAATCACAAAGCTTTCCCCAGTCTTTCAAACATAAAATGTACATAGAACTCAATCATTATTTATATTGCTTAAAAAGTATACACACTGATTATATAGTGTTAATTAGTTTGAATCAAACAGTATGCATAATCCTACTCTAAGACTCTAAAAAACGCAGCATTAAACAAGAGAATGGTACTTTTATGCTTTCTTGATAGCTACCAAAAATATTAAATAAAGAAAATCTTTATTCTCCAAACACACATGGAAGGGTACAGTGAGATTTATACCCTCAAAATACAGCATAAATCCCTGTCACAATTTATCTTCCTGAAAATGATGCTTGAATATAGCTGAATGCATCTGAGAGATTTATATTTGATGGTCTGCTTTAATCTATAAAGAATCAAACTACACCGTGTTCCTAATAAAAGTAGACCAGACTTATCTAAAAGAATATGCAGTAAGCATGATAATAGGTGTAGGCAGCAAACTAACTGTGTTAAATCTACAAAAAATAAAGTTTCAACAAATCGGTACCATAGATGATCATGAGGAGTGGGCTGCCTCTGTGATACTGTTGCAAGGATTTTAATGACTCTTTTCTGAGTACATTTTATACATACAGTTTACTTGGTATCCACAGTTTTGCTAGAAAATAGTTTAAGCATCACAAAAAATACTGCTAATTGTTTGGCATTACTTGAAAAAAATAAAATTAAAAGCATAAAGTAGAGAGCTAGCACTGAAGACGAGTGATCAGAGTTTATTAAGTGCTGTTTTCCTTCCCTATCACAACAAATTGTGTATTTTGTATTTTTCTCCATGCCCTTTTCACTGTGTATGTTATATAAATGATGTTTACCAGTGTCAACATGAAGTATAAAATTTTTAATAAAATGAAATATAAGGTAATCTATACTTTAAAAATACCATTTCTCTACTGCTCATTACTTCATAGAATGACTTATTAGAATGACTTATTATTCATAGTAGCTTCCTAAGAAAATATCCATGTAAGGTCACAGGAAGGTATTTTAGTTAAAAATAATGTCACTGATACACTAAAGTCTTTCTTTCACATTGACCTTAAAGATACATTAATAGGTATGATGAAGATTGTTTAATACTCCATTCAGAATAGTGAGAAAAATGCTCAAAATCAGTTCTGACGGTAAACAATTCTGATTATAGCTCTACTTCTAAAAACTTCATTTGATCAGTTCATTGAACCCCCCAGTGTAAACTTAATTCACTGTGAGCTTTCAGTGGGAAACACTCATGAGTGCCTAACCATTCACTGTAGAAGTAATTATACAAAAAAAATGCTTGCCATATTATTTTCTGCTTTCAGAGATCACAGCAATGATTTAGGTAATAAATGATTAGAATTGAAATGTACCTGAATGAGTCTACATTCTAAATCCAATTTTTCAAAACAAACTTGGATCTATATAGCTTTTATACTAGTTTTACTCTTCTAGGTAGGTATTTTATGTAACGTGCTGATACCACCTATGGTATAATACCAATAAACAGGGACAAAGTTACTGTGGTCATATACCTGTTTTCTGCATCTCCATAAAAATAAAACTAATAAAAATAAAAAAACTTCTGAAGGTGGACAAGACCTATGCAGTGATGGGCTATATATGCTGCAAAACAGGACACACTGCGTCATAGGTACCACTGAAACTGTCATTGTATGTTGACTAGACATCAGGTACCAGATTTAATACCCATCTATATTCTCAGATACCATGTAAAATAAATGTTGTTAGGTAGAAAAATGTTAATAGCGACCACCAAATTTTCTTTTTTATATATCTGAAGTAACTGAATGGAAAGTGTGTCAGAGCAGTACTGCTCTGCAAAATGATTGCATGAAACGTCTATTTTATTCAATCCAAATATAGCACTAATATTGTATAGTCTGCTGATAAATACATGTAATACTAAGGCATACGATTAAAATCTCTATAATTTATAATAGATGACGAAGTGTAAAGTGTGTCTCATTCTGCCGTTTCTATTGGACCTTAAAGAAATCAACACAATAGAAACTATGAGCTTTAATAAGTATATCCACTATATATACACAATGATACACCTATATCGGTATCTTATGGTACAATACTTAATGTTATGACACTAAAAATTCTTTTGAATCCATGTGAAGAGAACATTTTAATCAAGCCAGACTGAATAAATCCAAAATTGTTATGGGCCAGTCCCAGGAGTTCCAGTAACAACATTTACATAGTCTACACATGCTCTGTCTAACTGAGTATAAGCCAAATGAGAAAAACACCTTTCAATATCCAAGTGCTGTGACTGAATCAAGAGA